TATTTTTAGAAACTTTGAGCTCAGACCATGCAGTCACTCCTGAGCTATGCCAGGATGAAAAGAAAACAACCACTTCTGCCTGAACAATACCAGCACAGAAACAAAAAGCCACTGTAAATAGGTTTTTTTTCAGCATCCCTCAAAACTAGCCAAGCTTTGAAAGATGAAACTTCCAGTCAAAAAAAAAAAAAGAAAAAAAGGAAAAAGGTTCCTGGTGAACAAGTGAACAGAAAGGGCTTTGACAGTTTACTTTAAAAGCCAGATTAAAGCAAAATGCTGTTATATAAATACCGATAGGCATACTGGAGCTTGCATGCAGTATGGTGCTCCATCCCCATCCCAGCCACTGGCACACAGTACAGTGCTCCATCCCCATCCCAGCCACTGTGCTAGCCAGGCCCAGGGCTGGTTTGTCACCTGCTGCTGCCTGTGGCACAGCCCCGTGGTTAAAGCCACCCACAAGGAGCGGAGCTATGGCAGCCCCTGTGCCCGCAGCCCTGCGGGGCGGTGTTATTGCCTCATGATGGAGCAAGAAAGCAACCTCAGGGGATGCAGCTCCTCTCCTTACCCAGGCCACGAAGTTACACATGCAGAGCTGGCTGAGACAAACACCCTCTCGCTTGCCAGCGCTGTGGGACCAGCATGGAGGAGCTGCAGCCACGAGGATGACCAGAGGTCACCATCGCTGGAAAACACCGAAATCTCTGGTGCATTTTGTACCCTCTGGATGACTTGAAGTCAATGTTTCTGAGGACTCTCACTGCAAAAATTTCCTGTTTTTCAGGAAGTTGCTCAACTTCTTGTCCACTCATAGGAGAGATGGAGCTGGGGTGCCTTTAGCAGCAGAGGGTTGAGTAGTGTGTAGTAGATGAGAAGGGTACTCGGAGCTCAGCCTTCCCCTAAGTGGGAAAGCCAGCAGGCTGGCTCTTGTCTTTTTCTGTCAGCAGCTACAGCTGCTGGAGACATCTGTGAGCCCCAGAAGCTTCTGGTACTCTCCACAACAGAGATCAAGAGTATGTGAGTGGATAAACATCTATGTATATGTGCAGGGACCTCACTTTGCAGAAGCTGCAGGCCATGGAAAAAACCCATCAATTTAGGTGCATTTTTATTGTTACAAGGGCCTAGGAAGTCAATGTGGGCAGGTGGGAAGTTGGGTACTGCACTGTTGCCTGCAGCTGCCAGCTGTCATAGGATCATAGAGTCAAGGTTGGAAGAGACCTCTAAGATCATTGAGTCCAACCATTAACCTGTCACTCTGCTGTAACCCCTAAACAATACCTTCTAGCATCAAGTCCAGATGCCTTTCAAACACTTCCTGGGATGGTGACTCCACCATCTCCCTGGGCAATGTATTCCAGTGCCTGTCTACCCTAACAGGGAAAACATTTTTCCTAACATCTAATCTGAATCTCAAACGTGTCCTTCACCCGCAAGACATAAGCAGCTCCAGCATTCCCCTCTGGCCTCTCCTCATAGGAGCAGTTCCCACAGCTCACTGCCCAACAGGGACCCCTTGCCACCAGGAAGACAGCCACAGTGTTCCTCCTCACTCCATTCCCAATGGGATGTGGGCTGACACATTTTCAAGCTCTCCCTGAAGGCCTCCATTTTTCATCCATTTGCCTCCTCTGGGTGTAATTTGGAGTTTCCCCTGCTGCTCTTGCCTCCATCCTTCCCTGGGTGGTAGACTGCACACTGAGGAAAAAACCAGGCCTGGCTCAGCAAAGCAGCCCCTCCAGCATCACATTCAGTCTGCAGCTACCACCCTCCTGAGAGCTCAGTCTTGGGTTTTGTCTGAGAAAGGTTTTAAGAGGGAAAGTGTTGGGATCTGCCAGTGGGCTGTGAGCAATTGTATTGTGCATCGCTTGTTTCTCTTGGGTTTTCTCTTTTTGTTGTCTCCCTTTTCATTACATGTAGTATCACACTATTCTTATGTTATTTCAATTATTAAACTGTTCTGATCTCAACCCATGGGTTTTACCTATTTTTTCTTGATTTTCCTCCCATTCAACCAGGAGAGGTGTCAGCCAGTGGCTGCATGGTACTTAGGGGTTAACCAGCTTGAGCTTGGGTGTGTTGCAGGGTCAGGCAAGGAGGACAGGACTGTGGAAGAGGTGATCTAGTTTGGTTTTGATTTGAAAGTCGAGCCTGTGGTTGTTTAACCTTATCTTTTTATTGCCTAGGATATTGCAGCTGAGCAAATTGTTCCTCAACCTGCAGGAAGCTCACAGCAAGCACTTGCCAGCATTCAATACTTGTGAACAAAACTGAGCTTGACAGTGCTGCTAACAGCCTTGCAGGGCTGGAGAATTTAATTGCTGATTCTGTCTGAATACTGTAATTACTTGGATGAGAAAAATGAGGTATGTGTGGGGAAGCTCAAAGTGATTAACAAACTGTTAGGGACAGGAGCATGGCCAGGCTGGTGAAAGGCCCTGCCCAGGGCAGTGTCAGTGGTGGCTGTTTCCCTGTTGACATGGAACTGGTCTTTATTTTGTTCTTTGCACAAGAGGAATCATATTTGTTGATAAAGTAAGGGATTTACTGGTCACACCTCTCTGGAACCAGACTGACCAAAACTGCCCCCTTCAAAGGACCACATACACAGCCTCCTGTGTGCTGCAAGCCAGGCAACTTGGATTTTCCATCCTCTACCAGCCCTTGAAGCTGGTCCCAGCATAGCACCTCTAGCAGAAAAGATAGCATAGCTCTCTCACTCTCCATGCAGACATACACTATGACCCAGAGCAGCTGGAGATTAACTTGGGA